TTCGCCGCACGGTCGAGAGCAGGGAACACTGAGGAGGAGGACGGGGGCGAGGTTCTGCTGGGCCACATTTCCCAGTACCGCGGCGCGGTGTGTGGCGAAACTGTGGCGTTGTTTGATTAAAATGCGTTTTGTTTTGTTTTTTTGTTTTTTACCCGGCGGCTCTGTTGGAAAGTGGGCGGGCGAGTTTCCGGTGTCGCACGGAGACGGGGGGGCCTGAGGAGCTGAAGCGCCTGCGCATGGGTCAAGGATGTGTGGTCCCACAATCTTCCACAGGGCCACGAGCGCCCTAGCAGGAGGCGTTGTGACAGTGCGAACGCAGTGTGCGGGCTTTGCGCTTGGGCTGGCAGCGCCCGAAGCAATGGGTGCGGATCAGTGGGGCAACCGAATTGCCTAGAACATGCGTCACTACGGTGGGAGCGCAACAGGTGCTTACTGAGAAGTATGGGCTGCTTTGGGCGCTGCGCAACCGCGGGACAAAGACAGTTGCACTGGGCTACAAAGCTCTGCGGCACTGGAGGGCATCGCCGGTTCTTCGCACGACCTCCATTGGGGACATCCGGTGAGCACAGCCCCGCACGATGCGCGCAGTGGGTGCGAGAAGAGGGTCTCTTTTCCCGTATTTTTTGTTCCCCACAAATTATTACGCAGACTATTCGTGCGATTGGATGGGGGGGCCGGTGCTCTCTCAGGTGGCAGCGCATTTGTCTCCGTACACCATGAAGGTGGGGTCGGAGCAGCTCGAGAAATGGCTAGAGAAGGAGTCGGCCTGTTCGCCGAGAGTGTCGCAAATTTCTGCGGCGTGTGTTGCAGGTTCTCCTATGCACGGACGAGGCGCGTCACGATGGAAGGATGCTGGCGAAGTGATGGTTGTTGGCCGTGCGTGAAAAGACGCACCACACGCGCTTTCACAGGCGGAGGCGCGAATCGTTCGTTTGACCGTCGGGGCATTCCGCACACATTCGGTAGGAACTACTCAAATTTGTGTTGACGGCACGGCGCGCATGCGTGCGATGCACAGGGGAAACGTAGCTTCTGAAAGTTTGGCGTGAGGCCATTGCAGTCGAGAAGGACTGGCGAATTCCAGGGGTGCGTGCTGCGTGGGTATGCGTGACGTCGGAAGGTAATCCTGTGGGGGGGATATCGGGTTGGCGTGGCGTGGCGTGGCGTGGCGGGGAGTAAAACACTTGTGCGTTGTGGAGTGCGAAGCGTGGGAGGCAGGTCAAATATCCCTTTCATTACTTCATCCTATTCCCTCTTAATTGATGATTATGGATAATAGTAAAATTTGTTTTGGTATTTGTTAC